TGAACAAATTATTATATATAAATATATAAATAAATATACAAATATATATTTATATATATAAATATATAGATTACAGTGATAAAGATTCTGGGAGGTAGCACAACACTTTGTCATTGGATATACAAAACGAACTTTTATTTAATTAAAACCAGTTGATTTTATATATATTTTGTTTCTGTGTCTTATGTCCAGTCATTGTGGTGACATATTTACATTTACATTTATATATATTTATATATACTTATATAAGTTCATATATACAAGTTGGCATATATACAGGTTTATATATATATAATATAAATGAAGATTTGCGTTCTTCATAGAATCGCGTCGGCCGATGACCGCCTGAGAGAGTTAAATGGTAATATGCTGTACAATCTGAGAAACAATAGTCCAAAGTAAGTTGGCATATTATAAAGGCTTAATGATATATATGTACAAATAAACAGTGCAAGGAGAACAATGAATGATCAAGTGATGGACTGGGAATAACGATCATAAGGGGAAAAGCTAATGATAATAAAAAGGCAAAACATAGGGCTATGATCAAAACCAAGTAGGAATATGAAGCGGCGATTAAAAAAAAAATAATTAAAAATATACTAAAAATTAAATTAAACAAATAAAAGTAAGCCCATAGAAAAACAATTATCAATAAAAACCAGAATAAATACCGTAGTAGCGTAATAAAATTATGAATAAATGTGACCGAACTGAGAGAAAGAAATAATTATCGCCAGAAAAAAAATTTGCAACTTCCTGCAAACTACAAACTGACAGATTGACTGACTGACTGCCTGCCTGCCTGATTGATTGATTGATCGGTTGAACGGTTGATCGATCGATTGATTGATTGATTGATTGATTGATTGATTGATTGATTGGTTGATTGATTGATTGATTGATTGATTGATTGATTGATTGATTGATTGATTGATTGATTGATTGACTGACTGACTGACTGATTGATTGATTGATTGATTCGAAAATTATTCAGTCGAAAGAAAGTTAAGTAAATGTTCTCACTTTCGATATTAATTATAATGAATTATTAACCTGATGTATAGTATTTTTGGATTCGCGACAATATTATGTATTGTGGGGTTTTTTTGTTTTGTTTTGTTTAATTGTTAACACGTTCAATCAATCAAAATTCCAAGCTTATTAGTTATACGAAACACAATGCTACATAGATGACCAATAAAAATGATTTATTGTTCTATATCCCCCCTGTCTATGATTATGATCACTTCTCAGTTTTCTTTTCACGTAACCTGGTTTATCGTATTGAACCGCATGTTAAATCTGCAGTCTAGGTTCAAATATAATTTACAGTGTGAAATTTGACAGTGTATATGTGCATATTTATTTTAAGTGTGTTTTTGAAATATACAAATCAATAAAAGAAGACGATATGATTAAATGATAATAATTTAAAATATCAACGACTGTAATGAAAACACGTGTTTTATATAAATGATTTAGTCTATCATATCATCTACTTTTTCTGTTAATACAGTATATAAATATTGCATATATACGGTATATATAGATAAATAATAATAATAAGAAGAAGAAGAAGAAGAAGAAGAAGAAGAAGAAGAAGAAGCAGAAGAAGAATAACAATAACAACAATAATAATAGTGCTCGTATAGGAAATTATGATTATATACTGTATATCAAAAATAATGTTGGTACAGGGTAGATGAATAGGCAAATATAGGCCAGTACAAAAATGGAGTCAGATGCTATCAACTTATCAAATATTATGTCTAAGTTTACTGAAAACTAGCTAGTATTTTCAACTTTAAGTCTGTATCAAGCTATGAAATCTATAGTCATCTATATTTATTGGTCAGCCATACTCTTGTTATGTTTCATGTGACCAATAAGTTCTGAATATTGGTTGAACACATTCTAACATTAAAAATACTATACATAAAGAATGTCATAAACATACAGTACATAAATAATTATGTGCTTGATTAAGGCCAATCAAAAGTACTCGTTTGTTCTTAGTATATTTTGTGACTGATATTATTTCATATGTATATAAGTATAACATACTTACACATATACCTGTCTCTTATACACATCTTCTAACACTGTATTTACCTTTCTTTGATAATTATTATATAATTTAACAGTGGTAACGGCTATCTTGATTTATATTATATGGAACTATTTGTTTCTATACGTAATTATTGTTTAATGGAGTGTATCTGGTGGTATTTTAATCTGTTCAACCACGAAGTCTCTGTGGTTTAATGGTTATGACGCTCGCCTTGACAGCGGAAACCCCTAATTCGCAAAATAAGGTGATTTGAGGTTATTTTAAACTATTTTAGCATGAGTTATTTGGGAGGAAACGGGGAAAATCTCCCGCTCTCCTGCACACCCATAGATACGCCACTCTACAACCATATTGCAGCTGAGGTGGGTATGATATCTAGAATTCTAGTAAACTTCAACTAACTGTATCTGCCCCTGCGTGGATAGGGGTAGATGCTTTGATTATTGCCATCTGCTATTTATTGGCTTCTACAGATGCTATATTTTAAAAATATTTTCAAATCAGGTTCACCACGGTGGGTCTGAGGTTATAATGAATTCACTGTCCAAAATAACTTTTACTGTTTTGTCTGCTATTTGAGGTGGAGGGGTAGCAGCTCAACAATTACCAGGTGTTATTTGAGGGCATCTAGAGAGAAGTGCAATATTTTATAAATGTTCTCACCTCGGCCCCAACCATGGCTGAGGGTCCAGTGGAGTCCTTCTGGTGGTGACTGGACTGTACACCGAGAGATAAGACAATCCCCTAGTCTTTTCCGAAGAGTATACTCTCATAATTGTAAGTTCCCGTAACTCCCACATTCCTCCATTCCACCTCACATTGTAGAATATATTTGAATAGTAGGCCTACATAAAAAATAAAAAAACACGACCAAAAGTATCTTGGTTGAATCTTGGTTGACGTGTTTGAAATACAAAATGAGAAAGCCGAACTATATCCTCCACGGTCTATTATCCGCCAGCAATCAATATTTAAAGTTTGTCCACTTAGTTTTGCTACTTACGACCACCTATTTACTACATGGTGTTTTATTTTTATGCACTGCTACTTGTATACAACCAAAGCATTTATTGACTAGTAATGTTAGATTGATATGAATCGTTTTAATGAACTTGATATATGACTTGATACGCTTCAAGCTCTTCCGATGCTTCCGCCAAAGCCATTCATGTCCGAGGCTTTAAATACAAGAGATCAATACATTGCCTTGCCCAATCCGCTAAGAAGTTGTGATCCAGTCTTATTGCATGTGTGCGTGCGTAAACATACATTGATTTTTTATAGAACATTTTTTTGTTTTTTTTCTATCGTTATTACAATTTTTTAAATATATAGGATTAGAAGTTAGTTTCGTATGTCAGTATGAGGACATTATGAAATGTGGACAAGATTAGTCGCCGTCTCACATTGCCCTTTAGTTGCGTATTGACAGGGACCTCGGGGATGCAAGCCTCCCAAAAAAGCTACTCCCCCCTTATTTCACCTTATCTTGATAGCCCCCAACAATTACAACTAGCCCAGTGGAATTTACTATAGGCTGGAAAATGTCAGCCAGCTTGTACACATGATATAGGCCTAATCCAATATAGTCAAACACGATTGCGTTTATACTTTCTAATTTAATAGCATATATTTTGATTTATCAGTTTTTAACGTAATTTGATTTTACATCAAAATAATATTTGATCAATAATTGACATGCTTGTGCATGTTTGTAATTTTAGCAATGTTGCGCGCATCGTAATGATTGATCTAAACATGTTTAACAGCAAAACTATCTTTTCTCAGTAAGGGTAATTATTGATGAAGGGTATTTAGACCAAAAAAAGTATATACGTCATTAGTAGTGAGACGCCGTTGCCCCACTACTTGATCATATATAGCAAAATGTCATACTATTATGTGAAGTTATGTATCTAACTCACTTACTAAACCATGGTATATAACGCAATATTTGTAAGGGAAGAAAATTGGTAAAGACGCATACGTGTATAAACTACTATGGCTGTTATCGAGAAAAAAGCACGGTAATCTTAGTGGCCCTCAACGAAATCATTTATTATATAGCCTACTTAATACGAGAGGTCATATATACGATTTCATTGGCTACAATAATTCAAACTAATTGTTTGTGGCAGTTGGGATAAATACTGTCAAATTAATACATGGCTTCTGACAAATAGTTTTGTAGATAAATTACCGTCAGCATATCTTGGTCTGATTTCCTTCAGATTTCTGAATACACGTAGGCTTAGTTGTACGTCATAGCTATGTACTCCTGCCCTTGAAAAGAGCATGTAGATTCAATAAATAAGTTGTATTTTTATTTCAAAAGTAATGGCACACACACGTATATTTATATATATATATATATATACATATATATATATAGGCATATATATGTATATATATACATATATAT